CAAAAATTATGATGAGTCGTGCTTAGACAGGAGTCATGCGCAGGTCCCGGGTATAAATATCAAGCCCCGTCTATTGTAAAAAAACAACAATCAATCCAATATACAAGTCATTTACTTTTTTGGCTCCGGCCACCCTTAGGAGTAGGAATAGAGTAGATCTCGGTGAATTCTTCAACAAGTACGGCTGCATCGATCCGGTCGACCTCCACTGCTTGTTGTAAGTACCGTCATGGCTTATACCTCTGTTCGTACGGCTGCATCGATCCGGTCGACCTTCACTGCGACTCTGGTATAAGTTAGTTATCGATTCTTGCCTAGTTCAAGTATGGCTGTATCGATCCGATCGACCCCCACTGCATGAACTAGATCAAGGTCAAGTTATCGATTCTACCTTAGGATGGTAGTCTTTGATAGATTTATTAAGTTACGGATATTGCTTATTGCCTTCATTATTTATCTAATTACAGCAATATCACTCTATCCGATTAGGATTAATCTAGATCGGCCTTATATCCTGTTTAACCCATTGTTTGCTAATCTGAAATTGATCTAATCTATACTTTAAACGATGAGTTATGTTTTATCGGCTGTTTTATATCAATCCTGATCGTGCATAGCGTGCGGTTAAAGCGTGTTGCGTCTTGAGTAGATTTATTGGCTAGCGAGAACCGTTCCATGGCCCGTTATCACGGCTCTGTGTGATTCTGCCCCACACCCCACTGTTAGCACCGTGGAGTGTGAACGTTATTTGATAGATCTATTCCTGATAAGGCATGACTTTAGCTGTGCGCTATGCCTGAATCGGTTGTTTTAGCCGATATCGAGTACTTTCACGAACAGTTCATATCACGAGACCGTTGAATTAAAGATATGTTGAATGATGTGTTAGCCCCCATGATCTTATTATTGTATTACGGCATGCATGATTCTGCCTCATGTCCCACTGATATTAGTAATGAGTTAGGGTCGTCGAGTTTATTGTTATTTCTATGGCCTGCATTATTCTATCTCATGCCCCATTGGTCATAGCGATAGATGAGATCTAACATGTTCATTAGATTTATCTTTATTAAACGGTTAAATGGTGTTGAATTGTTTCTTTATATAAAAAGGGGTTCGGTTACTTGTAATCATTGGCTCAGCATAAACCGATCATTGTTGATATCTTATTGTCATTGATTAATATTTGTGTAAAAAATGACATTTATCCTGAATGATAACCGATTCTTCTTATGCAACCCAATGAGCTTTAACCGATATATTCTCATGAATATGCTGGAATCGACTATTTAGTCGATCCCCTTTCATATCGGCTTTCATAGCCGCATATTCGGGGCTGTCTAACATCACCGGCAAGTTCCGCCCTTAATAGTGATGAATTTTCTCTCCTTGTCAATTACATGATCAAATTGACTGGCATATCTCGGGAGGAGTGCACAGGATCGACCACCCCTGTGCTGAAGCTAGGCGGATCTACAACTCCATCGAGCAGACCCTTCCGACTTATTGCGTGTGTTCTCGACACGGGACGAAAATTCTGTGTCAACAAAGGGGGAAAACCCTCGTATGTTGTCACATCCATATTCATGAATGAGTTTTGCTGTGGTACACCAAAATCACTGTGAGCAGTGCATTCATGTTGAGCACAAAAAGAAGGTCGTCCTCACGAAAAAGGAAGGCGCGTTGCTGGATTCTGTCTTCCGTAACGGGAGAATTTGATTATTTTTCTTTTCTTTTTAAAATTAATCAATTAACTAACTTAAAACACTAAAAAAACAATGGCTCAAATTTATTTAAGATATTACCTCCTAATAATTAAAGGGGTACCGTAGCATTGCCCTGAATGAATATTACTATACGTATAATATATGAAATATTAACAGTTAAGTGTGACGTTGAAGACTATGTCGAGTCAAGCAATGCCTTAAATAAACAGGAAGTATTCTGAAACGGAGGGTTATCACACAATACTCCCCGTTTTTACAGTACTTGAAAGAACCTTCGGAGAAAGAGACCCGTGTAGCAAGGCAGGATGCAATGCAAAACATAATTGGGTTAGTTGAACCCTTTTACAGTACTTGAAAGAATCCTCAGAGGAAAGATGCATACACCTACATGACCGTAAGGTGTAAACATTGGCTATCTAATAACTGTAGCTCTACCGTGTATTACGTGCTACTGCTACGTAGAGCAGCTGTGAAGTTCCCTTGGACAGTCAACAAGCTGAGCGCGGATGGCAACAAGAGCTCAGATCTGCAGGCTGCAGGGTGCAGGCCACCTGGCAGATAATGGCCTTCGATTAGTAGTATCACCATCACTAAACAAACTGGTCTAATGAACCTTATCGTGACACAGGAGTAAAAAAATCTAAACAAATGAGCGTCTCCCTCGCCACTTCCACCGGTACATGGGGGCGAACCAGGCTCGAAGCACGCTGCCCAGGATGAGTCATCCGATCGGAGCGAGGACAAGCATATCCTTCCGGCACCTGTCACTCTAACAAAAGGCAAGTGTCATTTGGCCGCGCGACCTTCGCCCACCTCACCCGATCACGCACTTCGCTGCATGCGGCTGCTGGCTCGATGCATGGCGTAAAAGACACTCCGTTTTCCGTCAGCTACGACAACGAGTGGGACAAAAACTTCGGAAGCTTTGCGACTTTGCGAGTCCTACTATGACGAGGAGAAAGGGCCCGCGGACCAAGGGAGGAAGAGGATCGATGCTCGCGAAACGGTGAAAGTAGTAACTCCAAATGTCAGGCTGTTCGGTGGGCTGGTTCATTTCATTGCTGGTTCGTGAAGAAGTACTACTAATTGGTTTGTATGAGAGAAAAATACTGTTCCGGCTAGAAATTTACAATCGTTTACGACAAGTCATGGCCAAACGAACAGGCTGTGTGTTGAGAGGCTCGTCGTCGTCGTCCAAATGAGCGGCGCTCCGGGGAAAGGGACAGTATTTACGATCCGTCTTCTGTCATCCTTTCCTTCCACGGTCCTCCGTAGAAAAATGTTTGGTGCCGAGCACACTAGTTTAAGGGCGGCGGTATGCAGAACGGGGAGCATCCCTCGTGCCGATCAGTAGGAGCTCCAGAAATCCCGCGGGCTCGGTACACGCATCCCCAACTGGCATAGCCCCCGGATCCATGGCCTGGCCGGGCTAGAAGAAAGACAACAACTGTACTGTACTGCCCCAATCATGGTTACACGCTGCATATCCGAGTTACCGAGTCCTAGCAGGAAGAAACACTCATGCTCTGGAAAAGAGAGGGCAGAGAACATGTGCTAGTGGCGGTCGGTAGCACCGTTTGGACTTACAGTTAGGCCTTCTTTAAGACTTACAGTTAGGCCAGAGGTAAAGTTTGAGGTGTCACATCAGTTGTTATATAGGATGACGTATAGGTTATTTGGATACTAATAAAAAAACAAATTACAGAATCCGTTAGTAATCCACGAGATAAATTTATTAAACATAATTAATCTATTATTAACACATGTGTTACTGTAACACCACATTATCAAATCATGGACTAATTAGACTTAAAAGATTTATCTCGTAAATTAGTCGTAAACTGTATAATTAATTATTTTTTAATATATATTTAATACTTCATGCATGTGTCTAAATATTCGATGAAGAATTAAATACTCCATGCATAGTAAATTTTAGGGGAGAAGCTAAACAAGTCCTGAGTGACATGCGAGGCATGCATAGATCAGATGGATTGATTTGATGGAGACGAGGACTGCATGAGCGCGTGACGTGACATCCGGAATCACCGCCAATCAAAAGCCCAGCAACAAGCCTAAGCAGTGATTGCCTGATTGGACATGGGATTAGCCGATTAACAGTTGAGTTGATGAGGGGTGCAGTGCAGGGCAGCGCGGCGATCCAGGTTTGGACGCGCGTGTGGGAGTGATGGCGATGCGTGACAGCGTGAGCGTGAGCCCTGCCCCTGCCCCTGCCGGTGCCAGGTGGAGACGGCGTGGTCGATCAGGGAACCAGGGGGCAGGCGGGGTGCCGCGGCAAGCGGCATGGAGGCAGGCAGCCACCCGCCGCTCGGAGGTGGGGTTGTCGGGCGCAACGCCGTGCCGCGGTGCCGGTGGTTTCATGGGCAGCGCAGGCCATGGCAGTCTGTCTGCTTGACGCCGCCTGCCCCTGCGCCTGCGCGTCCCCCACCGGGGCCCTCGATCCGTCCCAGTCCAGTCCCCCCATGGCCCTGGCCCTGGCCCTGGCCCAGGCTTATACCCCTCCGTCCCGTTGATGTGGCGATACTAGCCGAGCGGAGAGCTTGGGCCAACGGAGAAAGAAAGTGAGGCCTATGCCGCAGACCAACATTGTCGAAACCGTGTCGGCTTGTAGCCCAACTGCCTTGGAATAGAAGTCGAACACCACCACGACGGCGACGTCAGCAACGGCCGCTTCCAATCCCCGCACGGGCCAAGCGTCGTGCGCCTGGACCCTGGTCAGTATTCCCTCCATAAAACAACTGCTCTCACACACAAACCGAACACACGAAAGGCCGCATCCATCAAGTCGTTTCCCAACCGCTTCCATCCAACTCCGCTGCGGTCGGGTCGAGCCATGGCGAAACGATCGGTATCCCGAGCCCAGATACCTTCCCGTCGATCGAAGCGGCAACCGAGTGCCCTTCTCGATGCACCTCGCCCCTGCTCAGCCGCCCAGATATCATCCTGGTCTGCTAACCTCTCGTGGGGGATGAAACGCAGGCGCACCGCGCGTCCAGACAGGTATGTGGGACAATTGGAATAACGTATTTTTTTTTAAAAAAAAAGTCTAATCCGTTCAGTAGCAGCGAAAGAAGGGGCTGGGCGAACCTTGGAGATGGACCGGCCGGCCTGATCGCGGAGCTCGTCCTAGCAAAAGACGTGGCTGACTACGTCCGCTTCCGCGCGGCGTGCCGCGCGTGGCGGCTGTGCTCACCGGATCCGCGATCGCAGCGCTGCTTCGGTGATAGCCGCTACCACCCCCGGCAGTGGATCATGCTCGACAAGGCCGCGGCCCGCCCCCGCTGCCGCAGCTTCCTTAACCTCACCACCGGCGAGTGTATCCGGATGGACCTCCCGGAGCTGGAGGAGCACGCGTTGCTCGCGCTCACCCCCGAGGGCCTCATCCTGCTGCTCGACGAGCCCACTCGTGTTGTCCGCCTGCTTAACCCGCTCACGCGCCAGCTCATCGATCTGCCGCCGGTGACCGCACTGCTGACACCGGAGTGGCAGCTTGACGGGCATCTAGGAAAGACTATTGAGGTCCATGGCGCTAGCATTGTCGATGCCTCCACGGTGGTAGTCAGCTTCAAGTGGCCCGAAGTATTCGTTGTCGCTAAGCCCGGCGACGAGGGCTGGACCTTGGTTGACAACAGGAGCTTCGAATCAGTTTTACCATCTGCAGGTCGCTTATATTGTGCCACCCGCAGGGCAGGGGTGTCGAGGTTCTGAACGCCAACACAGATGAGGGGGCGACGCCAAGGCTGCTGACGGCCATCGACTGGGGCAGGTCATTACATATGAATGCAATGACGAATGATAGTCTTCACCTGGTGGATAACGCTGGGGACTTGATGATGGTGCACCGCATGATGCGATGGGATACCCATGAAGATGACTACAAGAGGAAGTGGGCGGTGTAGAAGGTGGATCTGGACAGCGGCGTCCTTATTCCGGCCAAGAGTTTCTGTGGACGGGCGGTGTTCATGGGCTGATACCGCGGGTCTGTCTACGCAGAGGTCCGGTGTTTGCAAGACATGTCTCACCCGAGTGTCACGGCGCCTTAAAACACTTGAATCCCAACAACAAAGTAATCGGGTGACACATCCTAGCTAATCACTCGATTCCTATAGCCGCTGGATCCAAATCTAACGATGCAGATAAAAATCAAATAATAAAATAACAAAAAAATTGCCAGATAATTACTATGGAATGCAAATTGGTAGAAATTCAAAGAAAAAGCAGATAAAACATACCGACAACAAATAAAAAGGCAGAAAAATAACCAGATAATTTCGATGGAAACCAAATTTGAAGATTTCAAAGAGAAACAAATAAATCATACAGTTGTTGTGAAAAAATAAATCATACAGACAAACAAAAATGAGCAAAAAAAGATTAGAGAAGTGTTCAAGTAATCCAAATGGACATTCTCATTTCCAAATAATAAATTTACACCAATTAAACATAGAATTTATATCAAACACATGTAGTAAAATATGGTCTAATAAAATATAATATGCAACTAGTACCAAGAACAATTAGCCTGTTCGGCTGAGGCTGAAACGATCGTATACGTTTGTGGATTATTATTGTTGGCTGGTTTGGTACGAAAGAAAAAATACCTTGTTTGAAAATTTAGGATCATTTAAGACCAACCCAACACCCGTTCTTCTCTTTCTCTCTGCTGAATGGTGGGCTCAGCAGTTGTTGCTTTTAAGGCACAGGGTCACGATCTCCAACACTGGTGCAGGGGGTGATGCTCGTGTGTCGGGTTTCAACGGTCTCCAACACCAGACTAGAGAGATGCGGCGCGTGGGCCCGGGCAGGGCGCTGCACTCCCTCACGCGCCCAGGCGCGAGCGTCCATGGTGGATCTTACGCGCAGGACGAAATCGAGTGAGCGCCGATCAAAAAACACTCGGGTAAGTATAATATAGATTTGCTGTATACCGCACGGTTTCTGTATCACTAGACGCCTTTGATATCGCTGCCGATACTCTCTACTTCGGGTACGAGTGTGGTGGTGTTGCCACGTACACTCTTGGGAGCGGAGAAGCCACTTACTACCGCGATGTCATCGTGGAAGCTTGCGAGTGCGATGAAACTGACGAGCCTTGCAACCATAACATGGACTATGAATGGCAGGGACCTTTGGATATCGTGAGCTGCCTATGCGACTGTATTCAAGGTATAGGCAAGGAACTTGCTTGAGCGACGATGCGCGCTCAGTTATTTATTTGTACCGTGTGGCGTGCCGCCAATAAGGGGGTTTTGTGAATTCTGATGTTGTAATCTGTTTTTTTTTCTGTGATGTTGTAATCTATTTTTTTTCCCTGTGATGTTATAATCTGTCTTTTTTCTGTGATGTTGTAATCTATGTTTTTTTTCCTGAAAATTCTCGCTGGTGACTAATAATGCTGTTTTGAAGACAGGCGCTCCTTATTTTTCTTTGGGTTGTGAGAAACCAAATCATATCAGCTCGAAACCATGAATATTACATTATTAAAATCCTCCTCAACGTTGAGATTTTGGGCTTCACGAAACGTGATCAAAACCCTCCACGTTGAGACTTTGGGCCGTGCCGGCCCGTAGCTCAAGAGGAGTCCAGCTGGAGGTGCCGAGCCAGTTCGAACCGGATTGCAGCTTTCTGGCTGGGAATAGACGGCGACCACTGCCTCGACGGCGACGGCAGCGACGGCCACCATTCCCTTCCAATCTCCCGCACACCGGTCCATGGCGTCGTGCGTAGCCGCGATGACGCTCGCCGGTTCCCGACCTGCGTCTCACGCCCCTGGCCCCGTGGCGGCCAGCTACAGTGGCCACGCGCAGCTTAGCTTCCATCGCCGCGGCGCTCGCGCTCGGGTCATCAGCGCCTCCCACCGCCGGACGCACCATCCCTCTTTCGTGGCTGAGGTGGGCATGTCACATAGCTCTCGAGTTTGCAGCGTTTGTTTCCTTACTGGCACGGTGGGTTTCATGTAGGATGAGGGGGTTCTGGAGTGGCTGAGGGGCGCGGCCGCGGCGCTCGCCATCGTAGCCCAGATTTCCGTGTCGCTGCCGGCGAATGCGGTGCTTTACTCGCCTGACACGAAGGTGCCGAGGACCGGGGAGCTGGCCCTGAGGAGGGCGATCCCCGCTAACCCGAACATGAAGGCTATACAGGTTTACCTGCTCCTCAGGATTTGCATGTAGGTTTGCTTATTCGATTCTTCCGTCTGGGCGTTGCCTTACATTGCTGCATTTGGCAGGAATCGCTGGAGGATATTTCCTATTTGTTGAGGATACCACAGAGGAAGCCATACGGTTCCATGGAGAGCGATGTCAAGAAGTCCATGAAAGTAAATTGTCTGTCTCCAGAGTTCAGAGTAACTAATTCCTGGAGCTATCCAGACTGATGGCACATGCTTGATCTGGGCATTGGCCTTTTGCAGTGCACTTGCCAGTTCCACTTGATAGGATTGCACTTCATACATATACCACTCTGTGCTCTTGTGCAGATAGCAATGGACAACAAGGAGGCGATCCTGGGAAGCATTCCTGCAGAGCATAAGGAGGAGGGTGCCAAGCTATATACTTCACTACTCGAAGAGAAGGTAACTAAAAAATGCTAAGGGTGCAAAATGTAGTTCACGGAACAAACATGAACCCATTTTTTTTTACCTGTATTTAGCCATGATCTTTATTCTTGTTGCATGATAGCTGAGCTATTTCACATCATCTGCAGGGTGGTTTTCAGACTCTCTTGAAATATATTAAGGAGAATGACCCTGACAAACTTTCTATAGCACTTGCTTCGTCACTTGATACTGTTGCTGAATTGGAGCTGTTACAGGTACCTCCGTGAACCCATAGACTGTTTGATAGAATTTAGACAATGCTTAGAATAAGGAATTCGGTTCCAGTGACCATTCTGATTACTTGAAACGTTATTTCCCCCCTTTGAATAGGCTCCTGGTCTGTCCTTTCTCCTGCCCCAACAGTACTTAGAATATCCAAGGTGACACTTTCTTGATTTTCTCTTAAGCTCTAAATTCTATTTCTGTCATGCTTGCAATTTTTTTTTTCATAATTGTTTTTCTTTTTCCAACTAAACTAGCACAGGTTCTGGACCATAACTTTGCTGAATGTAGTTGATATGGAATTCGATCATGCAGGGCATAGTTATATACATATGTTCAGTGCAGGGGTTAAGCATGAGAATACCAACTGCTTGAGCTGCTTGATGTTAGTGATAAGGGATCAAGGCTGCCCTATAGAAATTTAATTTGAAATCCACACGTGCGTTGCAAAACCTCATCTAATTCTATATTGCAGTGCTCAATGATAATAACAACATCAATTTACCACTATTTTCACACTGCTCTGATATCAAGTCTGCTAGTGCAAAACACTTGCTAGTTATTTTTTAATCATGTCCATTGAATTTAGATTGTCTGTGAGTTGCTAAAATTTTTGTTGCCGTCATATAGGATTTGAAATGGTTGAAGTTCAGTTAGTGGTTGGTAGAATGGGTGACAACATCGTTCCTTTTGAATTTCTCAGTATCAGTGTCAAATCCTTAAAAAAAAGGGCGTACCTAGTGCAGAGAGCTCCCACTCTATGTGTGGGGTCTGGGGAAGGGTGTCAGTGGCAAGTCTTACCCTCGCTTGTGCAATGCGAGGAGACCGTGACTCGAACCCGGGGCCTTCCGGTCACAGGTGGTAAGACTCTACCGCTTGCACCAGGCCCGCCCTTCATCAGTGTCAAATCCTTATCACAGTTAATTTTGAGTACTTTAAGAATAAACTGCACAACATGTTTCGCAAAAAATGTAGATGTAGGATCCAATGTCAATTGCAATGTTCAGCTTCTGGGGGTGTTTGCGTAAATTGAGCATGCAGTTCTACAATGTCTGACAAACGATTTTGTATGAAATTTAGTTTAAACAGCTTGCTATTAATAGGCTAACAGGAAGAGGAGTTGTTGAATTCACAGTTGAAAAAGGTGATGGTTCAACATTCTTTCCAACTGGTGGCGGTGAACCGAAAAGTGTTGCTACGATTCAGGTAGATAACATTGGCATCACAAAGTTGTAGTCCATGGAAAGCTATTAATCTGCAGTTTTAACTCAAGAGTTTTCTAGCATTTTTTCCCCACACTGTTTGTTCTGAGAATAATCTGTTGTACTTTTGTAAGTGTTGTAATGGATCTAATAGTTGTGCATAAACTTCACTCTTCTGATGCGTTAATTATAAGACCTATAGACATAGTAGTTGCTGCTACAATTTGTCATGACATCTGGAGAATTATGATGGGTGCTGGTTGTTTACTAATGTAGGTCATTATTGATGGGTACTCTGCCCCACTGACTGCTGGAAACTTTGCAAAATTGGTAAGGTAGCTTGACTCTGACCCCATCTTATTGTTTGCTCCTGGTTGTTTTGGGGAAATTCCCAAATTGTAAACTTTTATTCTCACTCCTTTCTTGGAACAATAATGGTACTTACTTTGACCACTATAAAACACAAAAGTACTAAGTTTGTCAAGCAAAAATGATATTAGCATATGAAGATCTCTTCAGTAGCTTTTAGTAGCAAATGTTTAGAAAAAAAAAACAAAAGACGTGTATTAAAGACGATGTCCAAAACAACAGGTAAAAGAACGGCGGGTGTGAACAAAAAAATCTCTTTATTAACGTATTTACAATTCTTGAAGTTTTACTTTACGAGTTCTTTGTTCTTATTACCAGTTCTCATTCAATGTAGCAACCTTCCTTCAGGTCTTGGATGGGGCATATGACGGGGTAACACTTAAATGTGCAAGCCAGGCAATTATTGCTGATAATGAGACTGGAAAAAACGGGTATACTGTTCCATTAGAGGTCAAGCCAGCTGGACAATTCGAACCATTGTACAGAACTCCACTAAGCATTCAGGTCAGTCACTCTCCTAGACTGGTTTAGTGGCGATGGAAGTTTAAGTATATATCTCTGTTCTTTAGGTGAAGGTCTCCTCTGCTGTAATTCATTTCTTTTGCTTCATCTATTCTAGGATGGAGAATTGCCAGTCCTGCCGATGTCGGTGTATGGTGCTGTTGCCATGGCACATAGTGTGGATTCAGATGAATACTCCTCACCAACACAGTTCTTTTTTTATCTTTATGACAAGAGAAACGTGAGTAACAAAATGGCCAGAATTATATATTTTTACAATCCAATTTAAAGATCAAATTTGAGTGTACTTTGTTGAATAGTGTACCTACTTTAAACCATATTTGCTTTTCTTTAAACATAAAGCTGAATATAGGTATTCAGATAACAGACCAGACTCTGCCAGGTCATACAAAGGGTTTGAATGCCCAGTCTACTAATATAATAAGTAACAAGTCGCTTCTCCAGCCTGTAATAATCTGTAGAAGCATGAATTGTGTATAGATATGTGAGTTAATATGTTTCTCTTTCTTTTCTGTAGTCTGGCTTAGGAGGAATATCGTTTGATGAGGGACAATTTTCAGTTTTCGGGTAAGTCGTGACTGATTTCATTACGTGAACATTGAGTAGCAACATTGATCTATTCCATTGTGAATAAGGACGCTGTAAGAAATTTTATGCTTATATCCAAACAATTGCAGGTATACCACGGATGGAAGAGATGTTCTGTCCCAGATTAAGACCGGAGATAAAATTCGTTCTGCCAAGCTTGTACAGGGCAGAGAACGCCTTGTGCTGCCATCGATAGCCCCCGAGAGCTGATATTATCGACCCCAAGTATTTGCAGCATTCTTTTACACTGATCAGGCAACCAACATTTTGTATATCCAAGCCACTAAACTTGACCAGACAGTTTATAGTCAAATACGGAGTATATATAGCATATATAAGAATCGTTGTACATGAAACCATTTTTCTTGTGTAATCGATACATCAGATTCTGAACAGCCTGGAATGCCTATTCGACAGGTATGTCACGGTGCCAGGGAGTTGCCGGCGGTGTGCATCTCTCGTTGAGCCAGGCCAGGATGTCGCCACGGACACGCTCGATGTTCTCGTCCGGTTCCCCAAATAGCAAGGAGTGGAGCATCCCGTCGTATATCTTGATAGTCTTGTCCTTGCTGGCGGCGGCGGCGTACAGGGCGCGGCTGACTTCCGGGTCGGTAACCTCGTCGGCGCTGCCGTGCACGACAAGGAACGGGATGCTGACCTCGCCGAGGCGCTTGGCCAGCTCGTCGGTGGCACGCAACAGCTCGACGACGGTGCCGAGCCTGGGGCGGCCGTTGTAGCGCACAGGGTTGCGCGCTGCAATGATGCGCTTGGCGGGCACCTTGACGGACTTCTCGATGAGGTCGGCGGTGGGAACGATGGCGGCCGTGGGCGCGAACCGCGCGACGAAGGTGAGAATTTCCGGCAGCGGCCACGGCGGGCGGATCCGGTCGGAGATCCTGCACATGGGCGCGACGAGGACCGCCCCCGCCCACTCCTCCGGCCGCGTGCGGAGGTGGATGAGCAAGCAGATGGCCCCGCCCATGGACTCCCCGAAGAGGAAGCAGGGCAGGCCCGCGTGCTCCTCCCTCGCCTTGACGGCGCGGAAGAAGGCGAGGAGGTCGGCGACGGCGGCGTTGAGGTCGGGCACGAAGGCGCGGAGGCCGTGGGAGCGGCCGTGGCCCGGGAGGTCGGCCGCGAAGCAGGCGAACCCGGACCGCGCGAGGAAGACCGCCGTGGACTGAAACGTCCAGCTGACGTCGTTGCCGTAGCCGTGGACCATGAAGACGAGCGCCCTGGGCCGCTCGGGCGCGCGGGGCCTCCACGCGCGCGTGAAGAGCCGCCGGGCGCCCGCCTCGGGCGTGCTGAAGTAGGAGGGCTCGCCCTCCGCGCCGTGCGCCGCGTAGAACTCCGCCTCCGTGGCCGGGTGCTCGCCCCAGAAGTGGACGACCGGCGCCGGCGCGTCCCCGTCCGCCTGCATGGTGGGGATCAGAATTTGGTCCCGGACGTTGGCGTGGGGGTGTTGGTGTGCGGCGGTGTGTGTGTGTGGATGGGGAAGCAAGGAACTACTGGAGGCCGGCGAGTGGGGGAGTCGCTGGTCGCTGCTAGGCTGCCAGTTGCGTCGGGGCAGGGGAAGGGGGGCGTTTGGATGCGGGACGGGGAAATCGCTCGGTTCGTTGCGGGTAGGTGGAACGGCTCGTGCCGCGGCCCACGGGTCCACGTGGTATACTATTCGTTCATAGTTGGCCCATGCTGGCAACATTAACTCGTGTACCGACATTAGGGCCAATAAACCTTTTGATTTTTGGTCTATGATGAAAAAAATTGATTCTAGGAATAGATAGAACATATAAGAGCCATGTCGCTCCATCACCTGATTCTCAGTATCTGCGTTATTTTCTTTTGATGAAGGAGTGGCAGAATTTAGCAGAAAACAAGTTCCATTAAACGGAGCGTTTTCAAAGTGTGAAAATGGGTAGGATAGGACCGAAGCTGTAGATAATACAGTCACAAAAAAAAGGGTGTAGATAATACTATAGCCGCAACAAAGAGCCCAATTAGCAATGGATGGCCGTATGAATAGATAATAGTGTAGCTACAAACAAGAGCCCAATTAGCAACGACCTGTCACCTATTCGTGGGCTGCACATGGCACTGGTGCTTAGGCCGCCTATCTCGGATCAGTTTTCTTCGCGCAGCATGCAAATTGCAGTGCATGTTGCTCGATCATGCTGGATATAAAAAGTTAACGAAATGATCAAGTGATCATAGTACCATGTCTCCTAACATTAAAAACACATCGTTAAATTCTAAAGAACGAAAGAAAGATTTGAACATGGTGGATAGGTTTCACTTGCTGAGCTAGGCTCAATTTGCAATCCGGGGCAGGTGCTATTGGTGCTGCAGCATCCCCAGTGCCCATGTATCTTGAAGCAATCCATCCATGTGTTTGCAACATATTTATGAACAGCTATGGAACCAAAATTTTCACTTCATCTGCCCAGGATAGATCAATTTCTATAGCTGTCTTAAGTAAAAAAAAATAAGTTTGACTAAATCATAAATTTATAGAAAAGAGTGTCAATATTTATGACACTAAATTGGTATCATTAGATACACCACAATATATTTTGTACAATATGATCATTTGGTGTCATAAATATTTATGTTCTTTTTTATAAATTCGGGTAAACATTAAAAAATATTTAAGATAATTTTAGAAATTTATTTATTTAGGAATGGAGAGGGAGTACATTATGGCACCGGTCTAGTTAGTAGTTACATAGGTACCCATATGATCGAACATGTATGAGCTACATGATCTTCATAGTCATGCTTTGGACGAAAATCTTAGCGTTAGTGGTAATTAATTCGGCCGGACGGTGTAGGACTAGAACAGGCATGGCCGCAGTGGCGCACCCATCTTTTTTTGCTCACCCGACAGGTGGTCCATCCGGTGGATCGGCAGGCACATCTACCTCTCGTATCTGATCCGATCCCCTCCGCTCGCTCTTTATTCATCCAACCCCTTTTGTCACGCAAAGGTCGTGTTCGTTTCTTATAATCCGTCTTTTTCAGCTTAGTTTTTTCAGTCGGAAGAATATTTTTCTCTCACAACAAATCAGCTGAAATAGTGCCACGGCTTGTTTACAGTGCTGAAGAAAATTAAGGCCACCAGAAGGCCAGAACAGGACGGAGATGAGTACAGGGCACGTCCTTTGCCCCCAAATTAAAAGGAGTACAGTTTACAGTGCTGCTTACCTGAACTTCAGGCGTGCTGCTGCTACCCATATGGTTTTGGTGCACCGCATACGCTGTTTCACGTTAAAGAAGCATGGCAATGCACAGTTGACAGCGATAGATAATGATAACTACATCCAGCAAACTTTATTTGTAATAATAATAATAGTGACCGTGAAACAAGCTGCTAATAATAAGTACTCCCAAGACCAGCTGGGCCAAAGATCTGATGCTTCCTACGCATCGCGCGTGCACACTTCACTGGAGCACGAACTGCACAGAGACATGGGACGGACCACACAAATCCATGCGTGGATGCAGCAAGGCAAGCACGGCTAGCTATACGTAGCAGAGTATTATTCAAAGGGCGGCGCGAGACGAGACGACTGGTCGAGCTACTAGAGCCACCTTCGGCGGCTCGTGGGGGGGTACGTGTTCAGGGAGTGGCCGCGCCGGGGAGGAAGGGGTTGGGGACCTCGAAGCCGGGGTTGGGCACCCAGGTGTCGTCGGCGCCGGGCATGAACTGCCCGTGGACGGCGGCGGGGATGCTGTGGTCCAGCCCGCCGATGTCCGGGATGTAGTGGCTGCCGATCTCGTAGCGCCCCAGCCCCGGGATCAGCACCGTCCCCTCCTGCAGCGTGTCCGGCCGTTTCACGTCCTCCGCCGCCGCCGACACGGCCTGCTGCTGCGTGGGGACGGGGCGCGTCGCGGAGCACGCCACTGCTGCGGCCAGAACCACGAGGACGACGACCAGAACTGACGACGACCTGGCCATGCTGACGATCTGCTGGCTGCTGCTGCTGCTAGTGCTAGCTACCTGATGGCGACTATCGCTAGTCGATCGATCTACCGATCGTAGGTTGCTGACTTGCTGTTGCTTTCGTGGTGTGAGTGTGACACTGCCGGGTGACGCCGCGCCCGGGCTTACATATATAGGCCGAGCGGACGAGCGGGAGCACGATGACGCGACCGGTGGAGGCGTCAGGCGTGGAGCGAGAGCGATCGAGCGGGCGGCCGGGGCGGGAAAAGGCGGTGCGTTTAATTCGTGCCCGGCTGCCTCTTGGCACGCCTCACTCCCGCTCCCGGGCTAGGCGCCATGCGTTCGTTACGCTGCCACACTTTGCCAGCGGCGTTCGTTGGCCGTGCGCTCGAGCTGGGTCGATCGATCGGACCGGCGTTGGATGATCCGTGATTCCGTGCGTGTTAGTGGACGTGTAGGTGAGTCGTCGTCGGCGTGTTGTTGGCTACTTACTGTTCGACGGCGACGGATCCGCATCGACCGGGGCCCCGGCCTGGCCGCGCTCCCCTTCCGCTTCCGTGGCTATTGATTGGGATGTGGCAGTCACGCTCGCGCGGCCTAGTTTCCAACCACTCTACGCTGCTCTTTATTGTGGCGCCGGCGGCGACGGCGTCCAATTGGGGTGGCTACTTATTTCGGCCTGATGCCCAGGATTGAGGATTCCAATAATCGGCCGGTACTGATGGGCTGATTAGCGTACGTAGACGTAGCTCCGCTGGTACTGACCATCACCCAGGCGCTCATACTGTCTAGCATTGATACAATCCAAACACAGAGATGATCAGATGACGTCCACTCTTTGGGTTCGGTTCAGTTGTCTCATCAGGAAACATGATTACTGTTGTGCTGTACACTGTACTAGCTGCAGTGTCTGCTGCACCGAGGATTATCATTAGCTACGACATGCATGTAATGTAAACTTCAAAACTGTCTTTTAGAGCAACTACCTGGACAGGACTGTCACTCTCTAATCTAGACACTCCACCGAGTCCAGCTCGCGGTGGAACGGACTCCACCTAATTTTGGGGTCTCGGCAGTCGGCACTAATCACAGATGATCGTCGAGCCGTGCAATGGTCAATCCATCGATCTAGCGACAACCATGCATGATCACCCGTCCTTGCGCACAAGAACCTCATGTATCTTTGCTCATACTTCTTACCGGTCAATATATAAGGTCTTGTTTGGATATCTATGTATTCACCTTAATCCATATTTAAATTCTACATCAAACACTCTGATACACATGGATTGACACTGATACACAGGCATCAAACAAGTCCTAACAGTTTCTAACCAATGGGAGTAAATAGCTGCTCGATAATTCCAAGTGATGGTTTAAGGGGAAAAAACAATTACATAGCTATGGCATTTAATTAAGAAGATATATGATAGATCGACCTTTTATCTGATCTGTAGTATAGATGAAATTGACACAATCTTATGCTAGTTGGTTTGGTTGAGCTTTTGGAGGATAAAGTTAAATGGAACGAGGTGTGAGACCATCCATATTAAGTGTTTGGTTGTCAGGATGGAATAAGCCAGATTTTTTTTTGTTTGGGTGATGGATCATGGATGCGGCGGTGGATGGGACGAGAATTCATTTATTTTTATTAGTCTTGATCTAATCAACACTAATTAACAACAAATAAACTAATGATCCATAATCAACACTAATATCGACGCTAATCTTGCATAGTAATTACTACTAACTATAAATTGGACGAATTATCACTGATCAATAACTAATGATAAAGGTTAGCAAATGTATAGCCTTGTCCAATCATTTTTTTTTGTATATGCTCATCCATTATCTAGCAAAATATTCTCTAGGCATGATTCATGCCGTCTACACTGCCCATGAACCAACAAACAACTTCAAAAGCTAGACCGTGATCATCTCCCATCCAACTTCATCCAATTAACTGAACACAACCAACCAAGGCGCTGTTCGTTTCAACTTATCAGCCGTACCGTTTCAACGAAATAACAATATTTTTTTCTCACAACAAATCAGCATCAGCATCAGCCGTTTTTCCAGCCAGCCGAACAGGACCCAAAACTGGGGTTCACATATAAGGGCAGTACAGTTTCATCAACGAGACAAAATCAAGAGAGAAGTAACACAGTTCTGCCGCCATCAGCAGGGACACATTTGTCAACAAAACTTACTGTACAGTTTTAGGTTAGCTCATGTGTGGCTTGTGGGTGGGCGCGTGTTTAGTTGGGGAAAACTGGAATTTGGCTACTGTAGCACTTTCGTTTTTATTTGATAATTAGTGTTCAATCATGAACTAATTAGGCTCAAAACGTTCGTCTCGCGATTTCCGACCAAACTGTGCAATTAGTTTTTTTTCGTCTACATTTAATGCTCCATGCACGTGTCGCAAGATTCGATGTGATAGCTACTGTAGCACTTTTTTGGAACTTTTTTGAGAACTA